AGGCAGGGTGCACTTCGCGTAAGAGACCATTGTCTTCTTTCTGTAACAATCTGCCTAGGGGGAAGACTACCTTCATATGAGTTACATGAAGCACACAACTTGCACTGATAGGCCACCCTGCTGGGCTCCTCCATGAAAGCGCGGATGCCTGATCGCAGTCTCTTGAAGATGCCGCCCAAATAGTCATTTTGGACGTCGAGTGCCTGCAAGCTCAATGCCACTCACTGATTGACTATTTCCAATGCTTGCGCGAATCAACCAACCACTCTTTTACTATTACATATCCGTACCAAAGGCATAGATGTGGTATCTGATCGAGTCGTGATACGGGTACTCGGGTCAAAGTTTCATGCATACCCACACGCCGGGTCGTGGAAACGAGTTTGGTGACCGCAGGTCGAGAAAGTTTGAGTTGGTGCCACAGGCACCTGATTATCGGGATTAAGTGAGTTGCCTGAGTTCTGCGAGTCGTGGAGATAAGTTTGGGTCAAGCAAGGTGACACACTCCAGTAGACACGGTGCCACTGACACCTGAATATTCCTGAATATTACCCGAATTAGTAAGTTAGTTTTAGGCCTGCTTACATGAGCGCATACGTAGGTGCCAAAATTCAGTTACTAGTACCCACGAACCGTCTTTGCAAATATTGCTACAATGTTGGATTGATCGGACTCCGGGCAAGTTCTACATAATCTGAGGAACTAATATTAATTGCGTTTGTATTGGCTTAGATATCGTAGTGAGGGTTTTTCGTAGAAGTAAGCACTATGTCGCTGAAATCGAATCGCCTGGGAACACGAAACATTGTATTGCGTCGCATCTGCTTCCGGGATATTGGCTGGTCATGCATGTATGAAGTTCCGGTCCGTTGCGCGCGATGCAATGCCTGACATTTGGAGTTATCGCCAGCACCGCTAAAGCTAAGTTAGTGAGCAACGTGTCTTATCGTTGATCTGAGTGCTCTCTATCCGCCGGCTATTCCATTCAGGCGGATTGCGATGGGTACGACGTAACAGGTCTCGGATGGGTCCATGATGGCAAGAGCTTGGGTCAAGTTGGGTCAGCACAGCAGATCGCCTAGGAGTTGCATCGTACTTACTGCAATATCTATAAACGATAAACGATTTTGAATTAGGCTTCAAGCTTAGGCCTCATCCTCAGGAATGCATCACACGTGGTTAATATTGGGTCCTATGTTAATTTATGAAATGGCAGACAAATAGCAGACAAACTTACACTTGCATTGGCCAGTGACTCCGAGGCATTCACAACTAGACCCTGGACAAATATGGGGAGTTGTGCCCAGTGTTTGTCGTGCATCCTAATGTACTCGCTTTCAACTGACCATAGTGAGTTATATATTTAATTGGTAACACTATATATATGTGACAGTACCGCAGAAATTGCTATGCAAACTTACAATTCCTCTGAGCATTGGCCACTAAGGCATTTTCTCATCTGACTCGCTGCATGGGGACAAACTGGTGCTGCACTCAGTGTTCTAACATATTTACTCACTTAAGTTCAATTGTTTGAGTTGTAGTATATTCAATCGAGTGAGGAAGCCACAGTTGACTGCTGGCAGCGTATAATCTTCAACGACACCATTGTCCGTGACTGCGGGCATCGCATTGTCAAAACGTTTCGTCGTCGTCAATTTGCATTGCATTATTACAGCGTGTCGTGTATCGTATTGTCGTCAACGCACACGTTTGAGTTGTTCTCTCAATTCGTCCATGCACGTGTGCAACACAATCCAATCTTACATCACTCCATCAATCTCTCGATTAAAATGGTGAAATATGATCTTAACATACCCTACAATATTGAGGACATGTGATAATGCACAAATGCTTGATTTCGACCGCTATTTTCCTGCGTATGAGCTCAAGGCGGTGTGGAACAGATGATCCTTGTTAGCAAGAACGAATAACCGTTCGACCGCTGCTTTCGGCTCAGGATTGGCAACCATCTCCCAGTGAGCCTGTAAATTCACGACAGTATCAGTAGGTGCAAAACCGTAATAATATCAAAGTCTACCTCAACGCTCGACCAGCCGCCAACAAGAATAATTGCATTCTCATCCTCCAGCGTAGGACCAAATATGAGCTTCTTCTCGGTTAAGTCTGAGAGCTTATTGAGGATGTCGAACACCTCTGCACGATGGCTGGGATCTTTGAGCGTGATGAGGAGGACCTCCGTGACAGGCTGCCGGAATGTGGGATGATCGTTGAAAATGACATGATACATCTTGAGTGGGCCCCCAATGGCGGGTTTCAGAGCTTCGAGAAGAGGACCGTACGAGGAGGAAGTCATGAACGCTTGATGGTGGGCCAGGCTATCCCAGTCTAAAGCCAGGGCATGATGGGCTCCCTTTCAATGACTAGCAAAATGCATAACACGTACTGAGAAAGATATACCCTGTAGCTGGGTTCTCGATCTGTAGCCCGGAGTAGACGGGCCTATCGTGATAACAGCATGATTATGATGTCCAATGCTATGGGTAATATCTACCAGCAAGAGAACCATACGCACTTGTGGACACCATCAGCCTTTAAAACTATGTCGAATGCAGGACGTAAAAATGAGACGTCCTCACGAAACTTCTCTGATGTCTCGAAGATGATGATTTCAGTGGTTGGGATAGTAGACATGGTTGCGGGAGAATTTCTGAAAGAGCCCCTTACAATATCCCCTAAATATATAGTCGGACTCTGGAAGTGCCACCTGCGTCGGAAAAAACCTATATCATAAAATAGAGTTAATTCACTGCGGTGACAACAAACTGATGTGTGGAAAGAGGCTGTAGCTAGAGGGAAGAGCAGCGCATACTAGCACTGGTTGAGATTAGCTTGGTACGTAGCTGAATGGTTTATATCGAATGAAATAGTGTTATAACTAGTGTTGTTAATGCCTGGATTGAAAATTAGCTGGACCAGGGAATCACGAAGCGGTTCGTGGATAGTGTTGTGGGCAAAACTATTTTGAAGCAGCTCAGGACTGCCAACTGACAAAATTCCTCGGCAGAACCATGTTCTGTCGGGTGGTGGAATTTGCTATTTTGATGTGAGACTACTAGATAGCGAGAGCACCACCGGCACTCACTCTACACTGTAAGGCTCCTCGGTATATCTGACTTCAAGTTGGCTGGTAACGACCAGAAAGAGGTCGATTTAGACCTGTCAGAACACGTCGCACCCTGTCGTGTCAGGTACGTGGGAACTTGGTGGGAACTATCCTGTGATTACCAAGGCTTCCGTCCCATTCACATCCCAGTCCAAGGAAAATTCTCCGTGCCAATCGTTATTTTCCCACTACAAATGTCTTCTAGTCAAGCGAACTCAGCTTTAAAATCAGTCTCGAGCCACTTGGCAGTCACAGTATCCTCGGTAGTAAAGCCGGCCTACTTTCGACAAGGGACTTGAGAGGACGGCCTCCAGACTTAGACATCGTGAAGAACCTGTAGTTCTACCGCATTCTACCCAGGAGATTCCGCTCTGTCATGTGGCAGAATGGCAGAGTTCTGCCCACAACCCTATTCGTGGATCCGACAGACAGTGATCCAAGGCTCAAGCCAGTGGTTACATTAATGAGCACACATGTCATCAATATCGGTGCGTTTACTAATTTGCAGGCTCAATATACAAGTATGTGTGAGATACTGAGCAATATTAGTGTTATACGAACAGCAGACTCGTTACCAACATGTCTATCGACAGTCTACTACGAACAGGTCACCAGTCTGCGAACACAGGGCATACGTGCATGTTGCTTAACTCAAGGCTGCTATTCTGAATTTCAGATCCTATCCATCCGAACATGTGGGAGGAACACGTACACCTCACAGATAACGACAGTCAGGGCTCTGCGGATACCATACAGATTTAACAGATCCACCAGATTCAGAGTTTTTGAGCTTCATCGATGCATCTTCTGCTCTGCCGCAACTTCGCATATGTCACCACTGACCAGAGATCATATAAATGACAACCAAATGATCGAACAAAGGTGCAAATGTACGAATCGTACAACACTAATAAAAACTTTTGGCACGCTATCGATACGTTGAGTCGCACAGATGTACCAGGTTTACACGAGCGGACCTGTCCGAGAAGTCGAAAGGTCGTCTAATAAGTCACTCGGGCACCGGGGCAACTGGCTATCGCCGCACAGTTGTGCGGATTAGATAGCAGTTCGTGCCTGGACTATGAATGTGATGCGATGTAGCGGAAACGCCAGGTGAACTTGGTGCGCAGTAATCTGTCACTGCGATCATTCAGCGACTTTCCGAGTCAACTAGTGAGTCGCGACAGTAGGCGGCAGTCCGGGAATTTCGGGTCCTGGGCGCTTGGTCATGAAATGAATGCAACAATATCACAATGGCGTTCGTTATGATCTTTGCATGGCCTTTATGCACCAGGCGCCCTCACCGGCATTGATCTTGCTCGAATGAGCTACTATTGATAACCCCAATAGCGCCGTATGTGCTATGTGCCGACACCTGCTACCATTTTTGTTTTGATAGGAGGAACGAGTGCCTTCCTTCTATTGCCTACGAGCAAGGATAACAGTCTCCTACATGGGTCGTCATCGGTACACGCAGTATATCGGCTTCCCATTGTCCTATATGGTCTGAGGCGTCACGGTTGATCGGTCATAGGACGATCTGCTGCAAAAGTCACTCGCATATCTGACTTAAAGAGATGCATACTAGCAGCATATGACCAGTCTGACCTGAAGGTGCAAGCAAGCTATGATTACAATTATGGGGTACGAAATTGATGTCGGGACGGCGTTGTGTAGGTTATTACTGTTCATTCTCACACTGTCGTTTGCTGAAGCACTAAAACCGAGGTGACTTTGCGGACACGATGTACAGATCGCTTTGTGCCAGCTTCTCGAATTTCAAAGTTTGATATAGGTCATATCAAGTTACTGCGTCACATCTCCCTCTGATCTGGACTTTTACCCCACACTCTACCTAAATTTATACCGAGTCTGGGCTTATAAGGTCTGGGTATGCTTTCCAGGTCGTTATGATGCCTTCCCTCACAGCATTCCGTCACTGACGAGAAGTTTGTGATACAGAAACTTAGAATATAGTATTACATGCTTTGAATTCGACTTCAGTATCCTCAAGAGACAAACCCTACTTTCCCGTGAAAGAGGTGAGGCTGGTGTGGAATAGATGGTCCTTGTTGGCAAGAGTGTACAACCGTTCAAGCGCAGCTTTCGTCTCAGGCTTAGCGACCGCCTCCCAATGAGCCTAGAAGTCGACGGCATCAGTATGTCTAAAATTGCAATAATCTCCACGCATACCTCAACGCTCCGCCAACCAGCAACGAGAATAATCACATTCTTATCTTCCAGTGTAGGACCAAATACGGCCATCTTCTTAGTTGAGTCCGAGAACTTGGTGAGGATGTCAAACACCTCTGTGCGGTTACTGGGGTTCTTAAGAGTAAGGAGGAGAACTTCCGTGACAGGCTGCTTGACTGCGACGGGCTGGGCATTAAAAATCACATGGTACATCTTCGACCAGCCCCCATATCCAGGTTTCAGAGCTTCGAGCAGGTTCGGGTACGAAGGGGAAGCCAGCATCGCTTGATGGTGTGCTAGGCTGTCCCAGTCTGAAGCAAGGGAGTTATTTCAAGACTCATGAAATATGTAACACATACTCATGAAGACATAGCCTTTAGCAGGATTCTCGATCTGGATTCCAACGTAGGCAGGCCTGTTGCAATAATAGTATGATTAAGGCGCCTGTATCACCGGTGATGTATACCACCAGGAGAGCAATACGCACATCTAGACTTTGAAACTAGCTCGAATGCAGGTTTCAAAATTGAGCGATCCTTACGAATCGCTTCTGTAGTGTCAAAAATGACGAGTTCGCTGGTTGGGATAGACATAGATGCGAGTGAAGCTTTGGGGATAAGTGATCTTTACAACAGTCCTTACGTATAAATACCTTGGTCAACGAATTTCAAACTTTCTTGGGACCTGTGTTATCCAGGGTGATATCATCGGAGAAAGTCTCGTGATAGCCCAGCAGTGCGGACGGCTCTTGGACGCCACTTTTAATAACTCGGTCCGTGTGAAGAATGACAAAGACATAATCAACAGGTGATCAGCGAAGACCGCATACAAGCAAGCGCTGCTAAGCAAACTACATCCATTGCACCCGCGGCAGTCAGCTGTCCCCGAGTATATGGTTCTGTCAGCTTGAGTAGGGGGATGCTAGGGAGACGGATTGGCAACAGTATCGATCCAGCAAAAGCTCTTATCAGGGGGATACTGATGAGCCTAAACTCCTGTAACAGCTTGCCCTTCTGAATTTAGAACACCCCGTACCTTCGACTGTCCGATTCAGAGGGAATTAACTATCCAATCAGCTGCTATCCATATTCATGGATAACAGATTCAGGGCTTGGTCGTGAAGTAGGGTCTCCACCCCCGGGCCAGCGGCCGTAGGTCATAAACAACTCAGACGAAGAATCAGATTAGTGTTGAGAAAGTTAGTTTAGGTGTACACGTGACTTACATAAATACCGTGAGACCATAGACTCTATCCGATTCTTTCATTCCGGCCAGAAAATTGCTCGACTGAAGCCATACATGTGAATTACACAAACCTTGGCACCAGTCTGAAAAGCCAAAACATTCGTTGGTTCAATCACATTATGTGTGCAGAACTTCGAAACTTCCACCATTGAATAGACGGTGATCCCATGTGCAGGGCTCAGAAACTTCTAGCATTGAATAGACGGTGATCCCGTGTGCGATCACCGGAATCCGTCGCGGACGGAAGACCCACAAGAACGATATCAGTAAGTGCTAGAAGAGTGATGCTATCAATAAGGACGGTGACGAAGATAATGACTAACTGAGGCCCATAAGGGCAGCCGACAACCCTAATACTGGGCTCTGATAATCAAATGCTGAGATCGTCAATCAGCTCGCCGACCTCCGTGGCGACCAAATCTTCGGTTATGGCGGCTTTAGCCAAGCATTGATTGATGCCCACATCGATATCTCCTGTTGCTTGCGCTTTTTGTACAGTTCTTGCATGATATCAGTATGCCATTCTCGAAGGAGAAAAAATATCATGTCATGGTTTATCGATATGAAGTTAGTCGTAAGAACCAAGACAGCTATCTAAATTTGGCCCGGACCTTGCCGAAGAACTGCGAGCGAGTGGTGGCAACCCCCAAAATGTTCATCCACTTTCAGAAAGCTCATTGTCCCGGCAGGTTACCATGATATCATAGTGATATGTTATAGCTGTTTCCATAAGTGGCGACACTGGCGCTGGAGGGAATGAGTCAATGCAAGTTGTTTGGATGATGGTTAAGTACATCTTCACTAAAGCACCCAAGGTCTCAGGACTTTGCGCAGGATGTTGTGCGAATCATCGTCTGATGTGAGCCGGGCTCTCCCAATCGGAAGCCAAAGCATTACCGACCCCCTTTTAAAACCAGCGAAACACACAACACATACCGAGGAGATATGACATAGCCAGTCGTTTGGTTCTCGATCGGCCTATCACGACCACAATATGTAGTATGATCCGGGCCCCACGCCGCCACGCACTTCTCGTCATACGTAGTGGCCAGAGAACGACACATCTGGATACCATCAGCTTTTGAAATTACTTCGAGTGCCGAACTGAGTGGTCGTTATGAGTAATTTGACTCAACATACATGTCAATATACCCCACAAAATGACAAATATTCAAAAAAACCAAGAATGGATTCAGGTCATACTAGCTTACATCAATCCTGGAGTGCGCAAATTATTCGTCTGAGTACTTGTTTAAGGAGGAACACGTACATCTCGTAAATGCCTACTGCTCTGAACATGTCATGATCATTCGTAATTTCAGAGTCTACTTTTGAGCTTCATCTTCTGCTGAGCCGCAGCTTGCCCGCGTTGTAGCATGGGCCGAATGTAAGGCTACGTTGACTGAGTAAATGATATCAAATAACGAACAAAGACTTACAGCATAAGCGGGAGTAACTTCATCCTTGTTCATCGGTTCCATCTGCACTCGTTTCCAGAGTGCCTCGTAAACGCGGCCATCGGAGACTCCCAGTGCGCTATCGAACGTGGTCAGTACGTCAACCGTACAGATATAGTTTGCAAGTACCTGTCTAGGGACCAGTCCGAGAAGCCGAAAGCATCTGTTAGACCAATGACATTGGGCAGGACTTCAAGACAAAGGGCTTTGACGGCTAAACGGAGATCCTGCGTAGGATCGCCAGCACCCGTATGACGAATCAACCCAACCGAAAGGAGGTCCACGAGCGCACTTTCAGCACTCGTTAGCAAGTACTGTTAACATGATGCAATCAGAACGTTTTCAGTGACAAAGATAGCAACTAACCAGTCTATAAAGGCAGCCGACAACCCTCGCGTCCTCCGAAGGTAAATTGGTGAGATTGTTGATCATCTCACCGACCTGTGCTGCGACAAAAGCCTCTGTTATAGCTCTGGCCAAGCGCTGATTGACGTTCGCATCGACATCTCCACTCGCTGGCGTCTGTGTGAAATTCTTGACCATAAGAGCAGCACGCCACTCTAGAAGAAGGACAACGCTGTGGACATCATGCCAAGTTGATGCAGTGACTTGTGGAGGGGCCTCGCTGGTCGTGGACAAGAGACGCAGATAAGCTGATGGAAGGGGAAGCTCAGCAACAGCTGATGTTGACGAAAGCACAGCTTTGCATAGCTTTGTGGCGGCACGCACCACTTGTCCGTCCAGGACAAAGTTGTCCCCTTCGAACCTGGATACCTCTTCAATGTCAATTAACGCTCAGAAGGTAAGACACACGTTGCGGAGGGGAGGTATTCAATGTATAATCGCCCTAGCCCAGCAAATGCACTGTACCCATGTCCACCCATAGAACGCCGAGCGGTTTCAATATCAATAATTCCTTGTGTAGTAACAAAGACTTTTAAGCCACACAAGAGAGCATGCATCTCTGGAAGAAGGGAAGTGTCCCTACTTGCAAGCCGCTCTTGCATCTGAGTCAACGCTTTAATCTGACCATTGCGGAGGTGAGTACTTGGACCAACGGATAAAGAAGTAAAACAAACCGTATACCTCCCGAGCTCAATGAACACAAATGCCCTAGAGAGGATGGGCAACAAGCGGTAGTATGTTGAAGGGTATGTCAAGACTTGGCGTTCGAGTCCCTGTGCATCTAGTTCGCCTTGTCTCCGGACAGTCGTGTAACGAATAGCAACTGTTGCAGCTGCAAGAGGATTACATTTGGGATTACACTGGATGCTTAGAGCTCTACCTTTGGCTATGGTCCATCCGGCCGATGGTATCATGCTGGAATGCTATACTGTTAGTGCTGTTGAGCAGAAGTGCAGAGAATTGACAGACGTTGCCCTGATATACATCATCTGGTACATCGTGTCAGTGATATCAATATCAGGGCGAATTGAAGAGAATTACTCCTCCGTAGCTGAGTTTTGCGTGAGGAGGTTGGATATAACTACCCTCTATCGTGACCTCAGCAAACTTCGAGAACATGTTTGTCCTGGGTATCCGTACGTGATCAAATCTCGCGAAGCCTTGGTCTTGTGCAGCCATGCCTGTAGGGAACACATCAAACAAGGTATTAAAAGTGGCTTCAGATTTCACTTACCTCCCGAGGCCTTTGGACCAATGTCGCCAACAGTGATTCCTCGGAGAGGTTTGTGGTCCTCTGCAACAGCATTCAGTGCCGCTATAAAATAGGTAACGCCCAGGCGAACCTAGTGAGCGCAGCTGCACGAAGAAAAGGTGAGGTCCCATATCCTTCCCATCCGGCAAGATCAACTTTGCTTGGACAGCACCATGAGTTGCGGACTTTCCCAGAGCACCGATCCACCATTTAGTGCTCGTAAGACTAGGAGAGTTTAATTCGAACTCTTGGGTTTCCGGGATATACGTCGAAGTAGTTTCTAGACGAGCTACATTTGTACCGTGACCGAGTTCTGTTTGCAAATAACACCTGAAGCTTCCTAGTGAGTATAGTTCAGGAGAAAACGACTTGAAGTCAACATACCCTTGAATACCCTTCTCATGCACCAAGTCCCAATAGTTTTCCATCAGTGCAGGAGATCCTTGACCGAGGAAGACGGGCTGGAATGCTATACAAATATATGAGTGCGTGGTCTGCGTGAAGGATATAAGTCTGCATACCAACGTCATGTAGTGTGATTGATAGTACTTCCGAAAGAAGTGACGAGGCTGTATTATATTCTTCCTGAGACCAGCCATGGACTCGTCGTAACTCAGTCAGCCTATTTATGATTGCGGCAGCCCTGATATATTGATCTGTCCGGCCTAGAAAGTCCCTGAGAGAATAAGAAGTACGAAAGACAAGATGACCGGCACCTACCTGTGCTGTTTGTCAAATAATGGTTCTTGGACGATAATCTTTTCCAGGCGTTGACGTAGATCCCACACTTTCTGTCCACCTGAGGGGAGTTAGGGTGTTACAAGAACTAGGATGTCTTGGAGTGTTCACCATATAGATAGTTTCTGACAGTCTGAACGTTGATTGAGGTTTGTGAACGTGCTGCGTTCATATCAGCGGCCGTCTGCTGGTTGACATCGACTCTTGGTCTAGGCGCCATCTTCTTTGTGCTGGCAAGGTGAGAGGATGATTGACCAAGACGTTATACAACAAAGGTACGAGAGCTCGTGATTTTCGAATTACCGGCGCGGTCACCGTTAACTTCAACAGTACTAGTACGGACTTCGGGACCGTAACTCGGCACGGACGTATTTTCCTCTCGATCTAGCAACGACGTCGAGCAGGCTGTTCGACATGGCTCGTGCATCAGGCTCACTCGTACACTTTTCTATTCTTTCCACTTCCCTGAAGTCATTACGCACCGTAATTCCATCAATAGATATCGATATAAGTCGACATCGATGCCGTTCGTGTAGTGTAAACATCAAAGAATTTCTCGTTTGTCTTAACTCGTAAGCAGGTTTCCCGCTTTCCTAGCGGCTCCCCGTCCCGACGCACGGACCAACCCAACACATTATCACCGACTTCAAGCGAATGTATGAGTGTCGTCCATCATGACTATTGCCGCATTAATGCCACTACCCCGGTCTGTTCGCACGGTTATCAGCTAGCTTGGCTGTTTGTACCTGCAGGCTGCGTGCTCTGTAATCTTGGTTAAAATTCCAATGATTAGCTATGTCGACCATGTCTTCCACTTGCTGCGAAATCCTTGGGTTTTTTTGCTCATGTTGCTACTATTATTCGTGTCAACGATTCGAGTCTTGAATCGACTGTATCGTTGCACTGATTCCGTAGCGGGCTCTGCCGTGAGCGGCTAGAAGATGGTCGCTTATTTCGACATTTATGTAAATGCTGCAATAATGGTATAAGTTGCAGTCATAGTTTTCGGGAGCACCTTCCTTCCAACTCTTTCCAACGGTGTGTGGAATCGCCATCTAGAGGAACTGGTACTCCTTTACACTTACTAAATAATCTACAATTAGCTGATGCATTTTTTTTTATCACTTTAGTCATTTCGTTGAAATGTATCTTCTCCTCGTCCATTCGTTATTCTTTTCCTTTGGCCTCGTTCGGGCAGCTGTCACTGCCTATGGCCCGCATGTCCAGTCACCATTTGGGACTACGACGGCTGCCTCTGCCTCATACACGGGGTCGGCTTCATACGACCGAACGATATTACAGCCACCGCCGCCGCCTAGTCCACCCCCACCCACTCAGTTCAACGTGGACCTGCAGACCGGAGATGTCTCGGGAGTTTCGATTCAACAACAAGGCTCATTCTTTGGCTTCAGCATAGAGTTCAGTGTTACGACGCAAGTCCGTAAGTATTTCGTTCACTCGCATGTGTATCCACTGAACATGTCTTGTAGTCGGGCTGAACAGGTAACTAATTCAGTTACCACTAAGGACTAGCGTTTACCCCAATTACCAGTTCTTTCCTCCAAGTTCCATTTCTCAACCTTATGGCCAACCTGCAACAACGCGGGGGCGGCGTTAGGGTTCGTGTCGGTGGTAATACTCAAGAGACCGCTACCCTAGTGGCCAGTACCCCGGACGGTGCAGCTCTCGAGAAGAACTACGCGGGCATAACAAACCCCGTAAGTGCTTTTTTTTTACTCAATTATTTTGAGACTGAACACCCCCAAGACGGCAACGCCGCCCCTCGTCTTCACAAATGAGATCATCAAAATGATGGCGGAGATCTCTGCACTCGCTAATGTCTATTGGTATATGGGTATGCGATACCTGATAATACCCTTGTTGTCGCTGACCTTCTTGCGTAGGTGTGCCGTTCAATGATACTCAGCATTGGCGTTTGCAGATCGCTGAAGTCGGAGAGGCGATGCTTGGAAATTATCTGATTGGTCTACAGGTCAGGAACCCGACGTGTAGTGCGACAGTCTCTGATTGCTTTTACTTTAGGGCGGCAATGAACCTGATCTTTACTCAAGGCACGGTCATCGACCGGATGTAAGTTTTTTTTGGCCTGACTCCGTATTCATTGTTAACCTTTCTGCAGTCTTATGGCCCTCAGGATTACAAAGATGAATTCGGTCTTCTCATCGACGCAATGAACGCGGACTCCAATATCCCCAATAAAAATTTGCTCATTGGCCCCAACTTGGCTGGCGTGTGGAGCCCAACAGATATCTGGGAAACCGGGTTCGCTACAGACTTCAACCAAAACCTTGCTGCGTTGGGTGTTGAAAGGTGAGTCACAGATTATCCGTCGTCGTCATCTTCTGGCTCACAATCGTGAAGGTATCCCACCGATAATTGTTACGCCCAGTTCGGTATAGGAACTCCACGCACTGGCCAAGAGATGTTCCCGACCTTCCTGACACACCAAGCCGGAAAGAGCATCGTTGCTGAGTTCCCCGGTGCTGCCGCATATGCGCAATCCGTTGGAAAGCCTTTTATCATGTCGGAAACCAATACAGCATCTTGCGGAGGTTTTCCCGGGTTAAGCGACAGCTTCGGTGCCGCCCTGTGGGGAATTGACTATGCTCTCCAACTCGCATACAGCAACTTCTCCACTGTTCTTTTGCACGTTGGTGGACAGAGCACATATTACAATGTACGTTCAACTCGAGTCCTGTCGTTATTCAACCTCTAACTATTGTCTTCTACAGCCCTTTACACGTTCGTGTTAATCATCCTATCTGGATGGTGATTTTTTTGAACGTTATTCCTTAGCGCCTGTGAGAAACCAGTCGACGTACCAACAGTGGACCATTGGTATGAGCTACCTTGCATCATTTTTCCATTGAATGCTAATCGAGCTCCCATCGCAGGTCCGATCTATTACTCGGCTTTAGTAGTCGCAGAAGCACTGGGTTCCTCCAATATCGCACAAGTCCTGGATCTGCAGGCAAATGATGGAAACGACTACACTCCGGGTTATGCGATTTACGAAAATGGCCAGCCAGTCCGTGTTGCACTGACTAACTTCGTCTCGGATCCGTCTGGAGATAGCGATTACACTGCGAGTATTTCGATCGGGGGGACGGTGCCTGCTCAAGTACAAGTCAAGTGAGTGATTCCCTAATTGTCATGAATTTATTGTTTCCTAACGCTCACTCAGATACCTCCTGGCTAAATCTGTCTCTGAACTATACAACTTCACGTGGGCTGGACAGGTGTGCACAACGTGAATCTTCCTTGATTACCTAGACTAATTATTCCCCAGACTTTCGGCGGCCCATTCTCATCAGACGGACGACTTAATGGCACACTCGACATACAGACTATTCCCTGTGACCAGACTAATAACGTATGTCAGGTCAAAGTACCTGCTCCTGGTTTCGCCCTTGTATTCCTCACCAACAATGCGCTGTCCGAGTCCGACCAAACTTCAACGATGACCTTCCCAACCACCGCATATACGAATTTTCATGGTGGACCAACCGTCACTATTGACCCCTCCGTTCTGGCTACCTCGAATGGTGAGAAAGGATTTGCCAACGCCCTAGCGGGCACGAGCAAAGGCCGCCAGATGAGCAACGCTTTGGGATTCGCGCAAGCGCTGCCTAGCTTGGTCGGTGTCATGGCTGGTGCTCTAATGATCGGGCGTCTGGCCCTCGTGCGATGAACGTTTTTGAATTTTTCATTCGGGGTTCAGTGGTTCAGGAACTTCATTCGTTCATCTACCTGCACTTGCATCGGAACTGATGCACATGGGCATATATCTCGGAAATGATCATTGTCACTGCTGTGTGTATATGACATCCTTTGGCCACTTGGATCTTTGACCTGCGTACATATACTGCTTACAACTAATCCTACCTTTGGATCTTGGGCCTGCATCTATCCCACACGCTAATCATACTCGCCATCTTTTTGTTCATCACTCGTACCACTGCATCTACTATCACAACTGAACTGACTTTCAAGGCAATTTGGATCACGAAGTTCGATAAGTCCCGAAAACTTGTCGCTCACTGGAGGCTCAAGTCAGTTGAAACCACTGCGATCTTTCTGTAGTCGGAGGTATCTTTTTCATGTTCATGTTTTCTGGCGAGCCATCATCGGGTTAAACGTGCGTCGATAGCCTTTTCACGGGCTTCTTAATCAACAAGCAGAGCATTACCCTCGTCTTGCAATGATTCAGCTCGTTCACGACTAAGTATACACGTTGTAGACTGCAATGCATCATTAACCTTGAAAGCGGAGGGATCTTTAGTGTTACCCGGAGCGAGTCCCGGCCAGAGTCAAAGTTTGCATGGCGATCGAACAGACTCTCATTCTTCGATATGCTTTTTCCGTAATAGTAACGTACGCTATAACCAGTAAGTCTGGTATGATGAAATGATAGACCGGCATCACCGGCGGGGCGGCCCTCGAACTGGGCGCGCAGTCAGTTCGAATTCATTTTAAATTTTCAGCTTCAGATTCCTCCTCTTTCCTCTCTGCTTGCCTTTGGTTTTTGTCTGCTTCCCTCGTTCCTCCTGGCAAGTAACGAGCAAGCCAGACGAATGCTTAGTCAATTAGTGCTTGGCTAGCACTTTATTTTCCTCACCGGCATGACTCGAGTCTATCAAATGCAAGGCATCTCATGTTACATATCTCTACTCCAAATCATCAACCTCTGACACAACATGTTAGGCACATAGTCCGTCGACTTACCGACAGCGAGGTTGCATCAGAGCGAGCAAGGTTCGTTGTCGAAAGGCAAATAGCACATCGCGAAGATGCAAATGATCGTGTACAGCGCCTCAGAAATGCCTTACAAGCAATCAGGCTTCAGTGCTTTAGCTGAATCTATGTTAGAGTTGATGGACACGAACGATCAACAACATTCTGCTTATGTGCCACGAGTCAATTTCAAGTTCTCGAGGCCATAGGGCCCAGCTCTATTACAACACCACGTATGCGTTGACGACTAACTCCCGCGGACAGGAATGCAATTGAACTGTTTCGAGTCAATTCTGCCAATACCGTCATGTATTCGAAATGTGACCGTCCACTATATGCCTTCTCCTATGGAGTATAAAAGCGTCAGCAATCATGTTGCAAACGACCTCTATACAAGTAAGATTGACTCACTATCATGATTACCCGCCTCTCTAGTGTTTTCATTGTTCTCCTCAGCCTGATGGCCCTTGTCGACGCTGGAGTGCCAGTAGTAAGCCTCGCCTCACCTTAAACCTTGCCGTATTGTTATACGATGTCCGCAGGCCGCTCGCGAAGCTATTGACCTCGACGAGCGTAATGTCATCGGGAGAGACGAGGACTACAAAGTCGGATCAGAAACCAATAGAGTGGGGTCTGCGAAATTATAAACGATTATGGCTGGTGCGAGGTGCTACAATTTTTCGCAGACCGAGTCAGTGATAACTTAGCTGTGATATGAAGCAAACAATGATATGAAAATGAGGTCACGTCAGATATTGCAACTCTGGCGCAATGATAGTAAGACTCAGCCTATGGTTCTATCGCATGACTGCAGCCGCGTCCGGTGACCGGCCAGCTGCGTCCGTAACCATGACCCACCGGCGGAGTACTTTATGATTGGGGGAACGCTGGTGGGGCTCCAAGTCTCGTGGCCATTACCCTCTTCCGACCGCCGTTTCCGAATCGAAAAGGGAACCCTGGCATCTCCGTACAGAGACGATGCGGCTGAATTGAGAGGTTGATTGGTAGCGGCGCGACTTAGATATCGAAAGGGCGGAACGTTCTGGAAGTTGTCGATGCACAAAAAAGGGAGGAAGTTCTCATTTTGCGAAATCGACATACCTTCAGATTTTATAAAGTAAGTTAGTAACAAGACCTATTGCAAGACAGCTGAGCTTTGTCATCGAGCGGTGTTTGAACTCAGCTGGACTTGTCGATGGGCCCTCTGCCAGCCAACTCCAGAAGTCCTCTTCAAACTTTGGTCACAGATAGAAAGGCATGGTCATGGCGTTAGTGTCCGAATCCATGTCTCTCTGTCTGTCCCGGTCCCATAACAAGTGACAGAATCGGGCACCTGATTATGAGTTTGTACTGAGCAGTCTCATTTTAGTGGGTTACCTCGGTACTGGCCGTTGATCTAACCAGGTTATTCACATCACTGCTATGATTTCAACTCACTTCCTCTCCTCAAATATATCCATCAATCACATCAATCAATTCATTCATTATTGCAGAGCTACAGACGCCTCATAGCAACTTGGCAACGGTGAGATTTCATCCTTTCCTGTTTCAGCTAAGCGGGCTCTCCAACAGGTGGCACTATCTCATACGCAATGGTGGGATCTGCAGGACGTTGACCGGTCTCCACAGCTTCGACGCGGTCTTGTGTGATGGTGATCTTGTAGGATGTGGGCGTAATCGTAGAATGACCGCCATTGTAATGGGAATAGGCTCTACGCCGTTGCGGCTCGTCTGCAGCGTGTGCTATTGTATTTTCGGAAATGCAGCGAGTGAGCCTTGAGTCTTGACTCGGGATCAACCTATCCAAGTACCCTCGGTTCTATATGACTGTGCCCATGTCGTGATTGATTATACAGTTATGGGCCTGAACATGTGTGCCTCCCATAAAAGAGATGGTTCTGCGCATCTCAGAGTAAAGAGAGCGATTTTAGTGGTCATAATCAAGCAAGCGAAAAAGATAGACAACAAGCATATATGTGCTGCTGACATATGGGCGGAATCATCATCGCGACTCTCAAGATTGTCGTTCTATTCTGTTGGTGGGACATTCTTGATCACCTGATGAAGATATAGCTGGGGCAGACTAGGATCTCCAAACCAAGCAGCAGCGGTGACAGCGATGTTGAAGCAACGTTGGAAGGTTATTGTTATTTTCCGTCGATTCTGGATAAGACAGACTTCTATCCGGGCTGTTGCACATATCGCAGAGTCATTTGGTTTCCGAGGTTCGGAGATGAAACAATAGCTTTGCCGAGCCACCTTATCTAATCTCCGATTTTATTTTCTAATTTACTCCTGCATCTCAATTTCCAATTGTACAGCCACATATATATCAGCAGGGCTTATTTGCCAGCGTTGAACGAAGTCAACACTCAGTACTCAATATTTCAACTTCGAGCGAGTTGCTTTACCGAAACTCGACTCATCTCCGTCAAATCTGTTTATAACGTTCAACCCTCTATCTTGAATTATTTGTTGCTTATTACCCATGTCTACGGAACCTATAGTAACAGCCTCTGCTGAGGAAAAACGGCCTGCTGAAGAGGCTGTGGCGATACACGAAGGAGATGAAGATGAGAAGCTGCAGGATGCTCGCAAGCAGAGTACGCGTTTTTTCTGCTATCATCTTTCTGCAGATGGATGACCGTCGATATCATAGTCGAGTTCTACTTTGCAGACTCGAACCTGCCATTCGATAAGTGCGCATGATCATCATGCACCGCGTGCATGGCTGATATGATCCAGGTTCATGTGGAGTCTCCACACCGCAAATGCCGAACACTGGGTACCCATCAAAACCGTCTCTTCGTTCAAGCGCATGCGAGAGTATGCGTCGAAGGGCCATGACTGGATAGTGAAGGCCTTACGGACAAGCGAGGAACTGGAAGTGGATGAAGCTGGGGAAAATGCGAGGCGTCGCACTGAGGTGCAACCACCAAAGGGTCAGTTTGAGAGAAGTGTCTACGCGGTAAGGTAGATCATCGAGGTATCGACAAATTTGCTCATACATGCACTGTAGAAAGGGTTTGGAGATGAGACTTCCGATCTCCAAAAGAAGCTGGAAAAGTTTTTCGACCAGTATGGAGGAACGAATGCTGTCAGGATGCGTCGTATAGACGGGAACAAGCAGTTCAAGGTATGTTTCGTAGACGCAATCAAGACGTAACATACGCGCTCATATTTTTCGCAGGGATCCGTCTTCGTCGAATTTGCAGAAATGAAATCCGCGGAAGCATTCCTAAATGCTGATCCTAAACCATCTTGGGACGGCAAGGAGCTGCTGATTATGTCCAAGTATGACGTTTCTCTTTCTGAGTTTCTCTCTCTAATGGACTCTAGGGAGGCCTACTGCGATATGAAAATCAAAGAAAAGGGTCTTACTGGCAAGACCGCCGAGATGCGCAAGGACAACATCGCAAGCCGGAAGGGGTTCAATGCGTTCCAGGAGATGCAGAACGAGAAGAAGGGGAAGGGTCAAAAGGGCAAAGACAAGCCCAACCCCGAAGTCTGGCTCGAGTTCATGGGGTCTAAAATTCGCGTGCAGGAGGAAGATGGAGGCAGCGTGAAGAGTGAAGATGTGCCATATATCAAGGGCGCAACAATGAAGTTCACGGGCTGTGGTGGTGATGCTAACTTTACGGAGATGAAGGTAATTTGGTGGCTTTCACTTCGTCTGTCGAGGTTCTGACTTTTTGGACCGATAGACTCCTTTGAGAGAGCGCTTCGCTCGGGTACCATACATCCAATTCTCAAAGGGAGATGACTTTGGTCTCGTCGGATTCGACAAAGTCTTGACGGAAGATGAGATCGACTTCGTGAAGACCAACCTGAAGACAGTGAACTCTAATGAAGTCCAATGGTCTATACCAGAAGGTACTGTCACCCTCCCCGTATTGCATACGATCTGTGCCTTACTCCTGTTATCATGTCACAGGGGAAGAAGAGAAACAATTCCAAATCGATCGTGCTAACTTTGCTGCGCGGTCAATTCTCTCGCGTTCTCAGGAAAAAGGCGGTTCGTCACGAGGCGGACGTGGAGGCGGACGCGGGGGTCGGGGTAGAGGAGGTCGTGGTGGTAGGGGCGGTGGTCGTGGTGGAGGTCGTGGCGGAGGTCGCAGTGGCGAGAAAAGCCAGCCCGCTGCAGTGTCTGAGGAACAAAGCGGAGAAAAGCGCAAACGGGCTATTGAGCCTGACGGCGGCCCTGACACTGGTATTCGTGGTCAGGCTATCCCCGCTATTGCGCCATCAAAAAAAGCAAAAACGGATGCTGCATAATATCTGTACCGATAAGCTATGTGCACAATTTGTACCTTGGGGCATTGCATTTCGTCTTGAAAGACAACTTCTGTTATAACTTTCATGTATACTCATATTCAGTATTCTATTACATGCACAATGCTACAGGAAAGATAACGATACGGACTCATCGGACGAATCAGGACAAATCATTGATACTAACCACGGCAGGAATATCAGCAAAGAATCCTATCGGATGCGACATGCATGCATATGATTGATCAAGGAAAATGAATAACCAGGACTCCTAAACAAGAATTTGGTCGATGAGATATGGTGCACAGACTCGCGACCAACCTGCGCCAGCATACTCTATTTAAATGCACCAATTTGAGGGCTGTTCACGACGAACTATCAAACGCAATACTTGCGAGCGAGAATTCGACTAAACCGGCTCGTTTCGTGCACCAGCATGAACCTATTATCGTATCTCTACGCTTCCGACGTCCATGTGTCAGCGAAAGTTATGTTTTTGACTCGTGCAATGATCTCATGGTCCGACGCGATCCTCTTGTATTCTCTGACACGCCGCTGCGCTAGCAAAAATGGACCGACCGAAAGGCTGTCCAAGGCGAGCGATACTCCTGAGTGAGGCTTCTCTTCTAATACAGGCAAACCGCCGGAGTTAGTAACGTGTCAGAGTCGTCCATCAGGAACCCGGGCGATTTAGGTGTTGGTATGCACCATTATCATGATATTCCACAGCACGAGTATGTAGATGAGTACTTGTCAGTTGATACGTTCGAGCATGGCGAACGTCGACAGTCCTAGTGAATTCTCATCATGATGAGCGTTGACAAAAACCAAGCAACACAGGACATAAACTTGACCATGTCGGGGCGAGTCTCAAGGAGTACTCTGATAAAGTATTACTGGTGAGCATAGAGTTTGAAAACAAACGCTCTCTCACCTTTACTATCTTCAGGCGGTTGCACGGCACAGGTTTGTGCACTACATAGGGTCCTAGGGATCGAAGTTCCTGACAGCATAGTAAACGGCCCCCGTCGAATGAGGTCAATTATCGAGTATATCCATCCTATAAATTAATAATAAAATGGTGTATATGTGTAGGAAAAGACCATACCATATGTACCAGTTGCTGTTTAGTTTCGTCCCTCCCTTGGGTGATCATGAACTATCCAACTTCTCGCACAACGTTCATCTCCGCTGTGTCTGGAAGACTGTTGACAATAGCCCTGTGATCGTCGTTCGTCAAGCATCGTTGTTGTCGTTGTCGGTGAGAAAGCTGGACTTAAAATGCGGTGATTTTCAGTGTTTGCATGATAGATCACGACGTGTTCCTGCACATACCACGGGATTCCTGTATATGCGAAAATTCTGAAAAGGGAACTCAAGTTGTTGATTCAATACTACACGAGGTATTGCTGTGTCGGAGTATCTTCGGAAAGTTCATAGGAATTATTTGGGAAGTACTAGAACTGCAGTATGAGCACTATTTTGGGAAGCTGTGTTACTAAGCTGTGTGTGCGCTCAGCATAATAGGTGACCAGGTCGCACTGCAGGTTGCTCAACACCCTGTACTTTACTTTTCTTCAGTCAAGCAGACATATAACGCCATCTACGTCGCAGAGAGCGCTTCTGTAACGCCTTCTCACTAGTAATATTGATCTGCGCGCCCAGCAGAAATGAATGACAGGCAAGCACATTATCCGTTTGTTCCAGCCGCATCGTTCTGAAGACTTCCCCACTCGAAGTGCTCTCAAGTATAATCCTTCTCATGAATCTTGCGACATGGAAAAACAGCAGCTCCCAGACTTGGAAAAGGTCGAGGGACTGATTCCAGAATCGGAAGAGGAAGAGGAATTAAATCCCAACGAAGCTGTTCTTGAGACACTTATCGTCGGTCTCAACTGGACACTGTACTCAGTGAGTTCACATCGTCAGCAGTATTGTTGCATCCTCTGATGATGCATGGTTCTATTCATCAACTCCAGGCTTTGATAACCGGGTCAATTTGGTACAACGCGTCACCACTAGATTCCCCTGTCAACGATGGTGTCCCTACGCACGATTCCCAAACGCCTTCACTACGTTATAAGCTCTCGTGCGGACTCTTCTTTGTCGGCAGCTCACTGAGTTTCTGCGTCGCATTCCTCATCATTTTGGGCAAGATCCTGATGCGCCAGCACACGCTCACTCTGAGGCACCCGCCTTTTGGTCCTCGTAGCCTCCCCAAGTATAAGGTTCAACGTCTACGCGCGATACCGGCATCCATGCCTGCATGGTTCATAAAACTTCTGAAGTCACTGCAGTTTATCTTTCCATTCATCCAGTTTACGATTACCATGACGCTACTCGTGCTCGGTGGTATTCGCCCTTCCAAAGCTTAAGGGCCCTTGCCAATTTTTCTTTGACTCTCTTGACCCAAGAACAATTTTTCATATCGTCTAAGGAAAATTATGTTTACCGACGTTATCCTTCACCCCGAGGCTCCAAATTTTTATTGTTAAATGAACCGTGTTGGCTCTTGAGCTTGAGCGATAGTCTTTCCCGGGCCAGTTCTATTTCTTTTCACTGTATTCACCAATCACCATATACGATCTTATTTTATGTACATTCATTGTATTGTCAAACGATATATAAATCATCATGATAGAAACGAATCAAACTCGAGACTTTGTGAGATAAGATATTATGCGTTCATGATTACTAAGGCATTGTAAATAAAGTTATAGTAGGGTAGCTTCCCGGCCAAAGCTTACGTTCCTACCATGTTTTAATACATTCAGGTTTGCGCCAATGACTCGCAGTCTTACTGATTGCATCGATCGATGGCTAGTACTCAGGCGCTTAGTATAAGAGACGACCTTCGCCTTGTCCACTCTTACGGATCCTTGTGACCCAACACAGATATTCCGCCACTTCCGAATGATCAAAATCACTTCGACATCTGACTCCTCGTGTATGCCTCATGTGGCACGCATTTACTATACCCATTGCCCACTGAATCTAGATCATTTTCAACTCGGGAAGAATCTACCGAGTCCACACACTGCAATGATTATAAGGCTACCCCAACGCTTCCGAGTCTCCGTCACATTTACCTTCCCCCATGGATCCTTCAGAGATAAGAAAGAAAATCGGTCGCTTTCGAATCCTCGTTATAGGAAGAGCCAATGCAGGAAAAACTACCCTTTTACAGAGAGTCTGTAACACACGAGAGAATCCAGAAATATATAACGGCGCCGGTAAAAAGGTAGGCAGCACGATGCTAGTAGGAGGATCGTAGTCATGACTGAGCGATGGACTTCAGATTGATGCCAGGGTCTTGATGGCTTCCACAGAGGTGCTGTGTACTTTCAATAAATGGTAACCTGAACTAACACGATCTCAGCGCGGATTGCACAACATCGAGAATGAAATGGTGTTTCAAAGCAATCTGGGTTTCATCTTTCATGACTCTCGCGGGTTCGAAGCAGGTGGCGAATCCGAATTTGACCAGGTGAAGGCTTTCATCGCAGACCGTTCTAAGGAAACCAGATTAAGAAATCAACTCCACGCTATCTGGTAATTACAGCTGATCAATCGCGACGCGGCCTCACGGTTTGAACACAGGTATTGCATCCCCATGGACGAGGCGAGTAGGTCGTTCACCTCAGGTGAAATCAAGTTTTTCTCTCAATGCGATACTGGAAACAGTAAGCTTTCGCATCCGACCGTTGTTCATATTCGACTGATGCGCAGAATCACAATCCTCAGTTCCAGTAATAGTACTGTTCACAAAATTTGATGCACTCTACGACGAATCATATGCCCAGCTGAAATCGCAGGGAGCATCGATGGAGGAAGCTGAAGAACGGGCGCCGAAGCACGCAGAAGAATCATTTGCGATTGGGTCACAGCTGAAATTTTTATACCACTCCAAGGAGATTCGACGCCCTCCGAAATGCCACATATGCCTCCCTAGTAAGCTGTTGATCGTCGACTTATGAGTCTGATCCATTTTAACGCTGGTTGGTCTATTAGACATGGACAGGGACGATGCGGATTGCGGGCCACTCATCGAACAAACGGCGGGAACTCTGGATAATGAAGCGCTTCAGCAATTATTCGTCTCGACTCAGAAGACCAACTTGGAGATCTGCATGAAATATGCAGTTGATAAGTAACTACTCATGATCTCATTACCTGCCTCGAGCGTTAGTGACTGATATTGCCCAGATCACTCATGAAACATCTGGACTTTGCTGAGACACTGACATCCGAGGATTATGAGAAGATGGTAGGGGCATCAGGTGTCTGGTTTCCACATATTTTTGTAAGATTATCGGAGAGTTTGAAGGTCGCTCTAATTTATGTTGCGCATTTCTTATAGGTAGTACGTGTGTCGATCCTCGTTCGAGCAAGAGCCATGCTGATCCAAGTCGTTGCCCACCCTTCGCAGGATGTGAGTGTATCGATCCTCGTTCGAGCAAGAGCCATGCTGATCCAAGTCGTTGCCCACCCTTTGCAGGAAGTGAGTGTGTCGATCCTCGTTCGAGCAAGAGCCATGCTGATCGAGATCGTTGTCCACCCTTTGCAGTATGTGAGTGTGTCGATCCTCGTTCGAGCAAGAGCCATGCTGATCGAGATCGTTGTCCACCCTTCGCAGACTGTGAGTGTGTCGATCCTCGTTCGAGCAAGAGCCATGCTGATCCAAGTGGTTGCCCACCCTTCGCAGTGGGTGAGTGTGTCGATCCTCGTCCGAGGAAGAGCCATGCTGATCCAAGTCGTTGCCCACCCTTCGCAGACTGTGAGTGTGTCGATCCTCGTTCGAGCAAGAGCCATGCTGATACAAGTTGTTGCCCACCGTTCGCAGCGTGTGAGTGTCTTGATCCTCCTTCAAGCTCGAGCCTTCCTGAATGAAGCTATTGTGCATCCGTTGATAGAACGTAAGTGCATTGATTCTTTCTCAAGTTCAAGTTCTCACAAAAGCTATTGATGCACCATTGGCAGGAGGTCAGTACATTGACCCTCTACCGACCTTTAGCCACTGACCGAAGAAAACGTCGATCCGTTGACAGCTCGTGAGTATGATCATTTTCTGCCTACGTCTTGTCTTCGTCATTGATGTAATCGGTGAATCGTTGTCAGGATGTGAGTCTACCGATTCTCTGTCGCCCTCGCGCCATACTGACCGAATACATTGATGCTCCATCAATAGATTGTGAGTTTGTCTGTCCACTGTCGAGCTTAAACTATGCTGACCGAAGACATCGTCCGTCCATTCACAGGATGTAAGCACATCGACCCTCAGTCGAATTGGAGCATCACTAACCTTCCCCACCGATGACATTGCTCATCCACTGACAGAATGTCAGTGTGCTCATTCTTCGTCCAGCTCGAGCTTTTCTTACGACTGAAACCGTACATCCCTTAACAGTATGTGAGTGTTTTGATCCGAGCCTTGTTCGCGAACGACATCGCTGATTTATCTATAGGAAGTTAGTCTCTTTATTCTTCTTTGACTTCGGGCCATGCTGACCGAAGATGTTACGCATTGGCAGTATGTGAGTGTATCGATCCTCAGCAGAGATGGACGATTTCAACTTTCCATCATGATTTTACCAGCTTGAGCGGAGTCAAAGTGCAGAGCTGCGGTCTAGGTTACTCTCTACGGTATGTCCAATTGGTTACAGATTGTACATGCAATTCTGATGTTTCGAATGTACCAGGCCTCTGACTCATCACCCTTGGAGAACATTGTTCAGCTCTGTTCTGGTGAATTTTGAGGCTGCGTTGCGATGAACCTGCTTATCATTGATCATTTAGCTGTTGTCATTGTCTTCGAACACTCTTTCTACATTTTCGACAAGCGACGCCATCTTCATGACCAGCAAAAGTCTGTTCCTTCTTTCTATGTCGCTCTCGAGCAGTACATGGCATCTCCGCATGCGACTACTATCAGGGAAGGTGTGAGCGCTGCCGTGCAGGCATATGAAGAACGTGTGAGGACTGCTGTCCACACATCTCACGGAAACTTGAATGCTTTTATGGCGAAGTTGCCGTTTAAACGCTTGCAGAGGAAGGCAAAAGAATCTTTGGACTCTCAGGCGCAGGCGAAGGCGGAATTAATCAAGACTATTCTTGAAATCAGTTTAAATCATCGCCTGCGTATGTTTCAACGTCATGTTGTGGCAACAATCTCGCTGATCTACTTGTCTTCAGCGAGACCTTGACGTCGGGCAATGCAATACAGCGTTCCGATTCAGATGAGGTGTTTTGGCTGGGAATGTGGGTTCATTGAATGGTCTATTGAGGTGGATTCAGTGTGTGGAATTGTACGAAACAGTTGCATGATCACGCAATATGATGCTTTGCCTGGTAGTATACATGTTTGGAGAACGTCGCGGACTCACGTCAAGAACGTTGGACCAGGGGTCCCAGGACAAGGGTACAGAGACCTAGGCTTTCGGAGGTTTCCACAGCTTAGTCAGACGATACGCACATGCACACGGTTCCTGTAGTAGCATAGCTCATTCCTTCGCAGCAGCGGTCTCTCATCTCATCTCTAGCACTAGTCCATCTTGGTGAACAGAGCGATTTCGAACCAAAGACGCATAGGATTTTAGGAGCATTCAGCATCTTCAGATCATCGGATTTAGCAGCAGCCTTGCATATAACCGCAGCATCAGAATCAGAAGCAAAGCAGAATACCATTTGCGAAAAGCTTCGCAGACAACGTATTACGTCGTATTACGATCAAAAAAGATAAAGATAAACAACAGGTGTTTGTTAAACAAACCACAAGTATTCAAAAAGGGCTGTGTTCTATTCTACTCGTTTACGTGGAATTTCACCAAAAAACTGATGCATAGCGGTTTGAGACCTAGAACAGAAACAGGACAGGCGATAACCAACGTTCGGTTAAAAATTAACTGGTCAGCGGATACGTCCACAGCTTCATCCCCGCTAGACACACCAGAACAATTTCCAAATTCTCCGCTCACGAGCATCAATAGCTCAGGAAGTAACAGGGCATTGTCTGAGTTAGACGTACCGAATTTGGACCTCGATTTATCTCAGCTCGAATTAGAACTACAAGAGTATGCAAAACCAGAACCGTTCACATCGCTTTTCACGACACCAAACTACAATCTTGGCGAGTTCTTCGAAATCGCAGAGCCGAAACAATATATGCCTACGGAGACACCGCAGATATTTCATGGCGATGGACGCAAAACGGAAAATCCGGCAGACTTTCTTAAGTCATTCAATCGGGCAATGCGACAGCAGGCAATAATCACGAGCAGTGATAAGTTAGAGGCGTTCGGGGATTATCTCAGCACAGGATCAGAAGCGGAGGTATGGTTTAAAGGACTCACGGGGACGAACAAGACAACATGGGTCCTGTTTGTCGTAGCTTTTGAAGCACGATGGCCACCTATCACGATCGCAAAGAAGACCAAGGCGGAATACGAAAGGGAGTTGTTAGATCATCGTTTAATGGACGTAGACGTGGGGACGAAGACCATGTTGTACGATCAAGAATGTTGGGCACACGAAGCATGGGCAACGAAGGCGCAGCAGCTCGCAACAAGTGCAGGAATAGAAGGAAGCACATCGATGATATGGCAAGTTAGAGGACAACTGCCAAGCGTCGTCAAAGACTTGCTGAAAGACGAAGAATATGCAAATTGGGAGGCGTTTACGAAAGAAGTTAAAGAGTTGAAGGGCAATAGACTTCTGGAAAAGAAGGAGCAGTACATCAGACAGGAACGAGAGGTCAACATGTTGCGTGCAGACGTAGCCCGGTTGCAACAGCGCAGCACAACGTCAAACCCAATCACGGCACTCCAGAATCAATTATCTCGCATGTCAATTGCGGCACCAAAACAAGCTACGACGCCGTTAAGCAATAGTAACGTGGCACGAGTACCAGCACAGCAAACAAATCAGTCCGCACCATCCACCATTAGCCGTCAACCACTCACAAGCCCACAACCGCTCGTCATAACAGAGGACATAAAGAACACGATTAGACAACTCGTTTCGTCAATCGTTCATCAACCAGACACTCCAGCAGGACACACAGCATACAGAACGCAAATCGCACAATGGAATGTGAAATGGGGAGAGAGCACAAGAGTTTCGCATGAGACTGGGTACCCGCTCAAGCCAGGGACAGCAGCTATCGCGTCAAGTGAATGTTTCAACTGCGGAACGCATGGACATAATAGTCGCAACTGTGTCTTACCAGCAGACCACACAGAGAGGCTCTCGAGGAAGGAGGCGGCATGGCGCGCAATCACAAGTAAAGCGTTGGGAGCCTTCAATCGAGCGACAGCAACCACTATAGCGCTCGTCATTGACGGAAACTATGAGACAACAGGAGCATGGATCGAAGAAATCTCGGAGCAACAGGGAAAAGGGGACGGGTCAACGTAGAGCAGAACAATACGTCGACCCAAAGTTTCAAGGACCCGCAGGACGAAATCAAAGTCCTCGCATGTGTGGAGGCAAGATGCGAGGAAAAGATCAGGATCAATAGCCCCGAACTCTATGCTAAAGCCGTAGCTAAGGATGTCAAATGTATCACCAATTCTCGCAGCGCAATCGAGATAGTTGACTTGTATTCGGTCGGACACCCGCAAACGACGAAGGCACAAATAGAGAACGGAGAGGCAGTTCCATTCATACACCGAATCGAACTGGAAGGTCCACAGGGAGAGGTGGTTAGAATCAGAGCGCTATTCGATGACGGAGCAATGGTTAGCGTTATGTGCTCATCAATATTTCAAAAAATCAAGCACAGACTACACAACTATGGCCAATCGAACAAAAAACTACGGATGGCGAATGGAAACATCATTAATTCGGTTGCGAAATGGACAGGAAACGTTAGAATTAACGGGATAATAACGGAGAGTACATTCGAGGTTTTCGATAGCGGAGGGAGTTGGGGATTTCTACTGGGAAAACCAACGCTTCAAGCATTTGCGGCGGTCCACGATTACGCAACAGACAAGATAAAGATTTCAGGAGGCGCACAAGAAGCACAACTAGAGAATCAAGTCAAAGATCAGCGCATGATGGAGCAAGGCGAAGGGGTCAACTTAACGCTGGACGAGAAACAGCAGAGAGAGGAAGTTGAAAGCACGAGAGCAAAGAGGGTGCAGGAAAGAAGAAG